TATAAATATAAATATATATATATATATATATATATATATAATTAGAAGTAGCTTTCCATTAGCAGCCTATTACTACAGTAGCATTATTTTGGTTTTATCCTGATTTGAAACAGTACATTTTACTTTCAGTCTTTCAACAGTTGACCCAAATTTTCGACAGTTATTTTCAAAAACTGCCAAATTCCCATAAAGTTGATGAGTGGCTGTATTTGAAAGAAACTATAATAGTGCATAATTAATAAAAGCAAAAAGTAATAGTTATGTTGCTTTGTTAGAGTTTGTTCAAAAGTTCTTAACTTTTCAAACAGACCTGAAAGTTTTGTTCATTTTAAACACTTACTTCCTAATTTTTTGATTCTGCAGTTTAATAAACAAGTCTCTGTTTAAAAACTTTGTATAGGTTGCTTCTACTAATGAAATTACTTTTGATTTTTTAATGTAGTTTGAAATAGCTACGAAGTATTGGTAGATAAAATTCTCATGATCATCAAACACAATTTATTAATGACACCTATTTTCCTCTCTCTTCTTTCCCTACTTTTTGCTTTTCCTTCACTCGCACAAATGTATTTCTTTGGCGGTTATGTTTTCCTTTTCCTGTTTCAGGTTTTCGGTTAGCTCCTGTATTTTCTTTGAAGTTTTTAGAAGAAATGAGTAGCGAACTTGTAATGTGTGATAGTTGGCTTTCAACTGGTTGGATACTGTATGCCTGTTGTTTACTTTAACTGATCGCTGTTTTCTTGGCCTGTCATTATTTCAAATGTTTTTTATAGATGCTTATGACAGAGAATTCGATAAATTGTTTTAAGTTTTTCTGAAGTCACATACCTTTTTCCGGACTTAAAACCCTTCTCAGTTTATTTTTGCAGACTATGATCTCTTAATTTTTAATTTAATTTGAACGAAAAAAAAAATTTAATTTAAAAGTATGAAAACAATAGTTTTTTTTGGTTATTATTAAGATTATTTTTTTTTTTGGAAGGATGCTTTTTATCTTTACCTACTTTTTGCTTTTCCTTCACTCGCACAAATGTATTTCTTTGGCGGTTATGTTTTCCTTAACTTACAAATATATTAACTTTACAAACTTTACAAATATATTCTAACTTTACAAATATATTCTAAACCGTTGTCTGTAATTGTTGTTGTAAAAGCGCTGCACGAACTCTCCGTTTGATCGCCATTTGCTATGTATTATTTTTTTCAGTTACACAACATGACTACACCTAAATTTCTGTACCTCCCAAATTTTTGGCTCTAATTTTTACGACAAATTATTAGTGCTTTGGTTATTTTGTTGATATTTTTATTAACACAGTATTATAGAACTTTTTGGTTTCTTTTTTTCTCAGTTTTTTTTACTTTTTTTTGAACGCTGAAACTTATGCAACAGTCAAGCGCATGGGTAGGTGTCTGGTTAACAAATGATCTGAACTTTCAAATTATTTATATGATGTCAGATACATACTAATTCGTTATAGTAATTTAAGTTTTTTCAACATGAATGGGCTGAAGAGTTGTAGGTTATAATGTTAATTTTTCAAACAAAACTTTAAGTATTCCTAAATATCTTTTTCTCTTTGTTTTCAAAAATTTTTATACGAACATTTACCAAAATAATCCTTCTGAATCGATATCTTATTTCTGGTACACATCCTGCTTTTTAAAAACTGAGTTCATGTAACACAATAATTGATACGATTATCAGATGCTTATTTATACGTTTTTTTTCTGAATATAATTTACCAAAATCCGTTATCGGCGTGTAGTGACGAAGTTTTTAACTTTTTTGTATAAAGCAAATTTAGTTGATTTTTGGTTTCTAAAAACTGTAACACTGTACTTTGGATTGTACTCTGGCCATCAGAATTTGTTTGACAGTACAACTGGATCTGTTAAACAGGAAAATTCGGTATTATTATGTGGGAATCTGGATTACCATTGAGATTACTTATCTGTATTTCTACTGTCGCAGAATTTCCTGGTTTGAGTTTTGCAGGAAAAATTTTCAAACCAAAGTTTAATGATGATGTGGTAGGATTTTCAACTTTCAATAGTTTTTTTCTTTTTTTTATTTTTTTTTATTGGCTGAATTTAGAGAAATAAATTACTTTTTGGATTGTTTAAATTTTAGGTGGTAACTGATTACGAATTTCGTGGTTCGATAATTCATGTGGATAAACTGAAATCATTTGATTTAACCAGAAACGCAGCGCAGTGCCAGTCATTTAACTCTGCTTTTGCTTCTGCAGCAGAAAAAGACCTACCTGTAAGGAAGTTAAAGTTTTTTAATGAACTAGTTATTTGGTCTTAATCTTTTGCCTGTTTTTTTAAATAGTTAATTTCTAGCATCTTTGTGAATGCCTTTTAAAATCGTCAAATTCTTCTGGTTCTGTAGCAGTTCAAAAAAAGCCTGAGATATGGGTACGCTGCTCACAAGGAGTTATGCCATATATTTATAAAGAACTGAATAATTTACACAAAGCAGAGGTTTCAAAACTATGGATTGTTGATGCTCACGCTGTAGTGATACCGTCGAATATGTTTGCTCAAGTAAAAGATTACCTAATTCCTTCTAAAAAATTTAAAAAAAAAAATTATTATTTTTTGTTGTCTTGGCTTTGAATAATATTTTTTATGTTTGATAAATCATTATCGATTTTATGTTGAGATAACGCCAAGAATATTGTCAATCGAACGGTCTCGGGTAGCTGTAATACGTAATGGGTCTTTTAATGGATTTAGCAAAACACTTACTGAACTAGTGCTACGGGATAATCTTTTGGCTGCTTTAAAAACTGACGTTTTCGAACCGCTTCGGCACTTGGAAAAGTTAGATGTTGGACGAAATAAGATTTCTAAAGTTTCTAGCGGTAAGCATCGTTCAAAATATTTTTTGCACAAAAGTTGAGGTTGTTGATAAAAAAGTGGACAGTGAAGAGATATGAAAAAAAATTCTTTTCTTATCTTTTTTTTTTTCTGAAAATTACCAGTTATTCTTTTCGTGATAATCACTGTCACTTTTATGCAGCATTATTGAAACTACAAAAAATTTATTTGCATCATTAGTTGTTTTTCGTTGCTGTTTGAAAGAATGTGAGGTCTTTAATCTCCCAAAAGTTTTGGAAAGCTAAATTTACTTCTTGTCTGTCAAAACAAATGGTTTGTATACTAAATTATCGTTTAATCTTTAAGTTTTCGTTGCTTTTTATTTATCTGAAGTAATTTTTAGAGTTGCTAAGTTCTATGACAAACCTAAAATTCCTGATTCTGGAGAGTAACAACTTAGAAACGATTGATTATGGAACTTTCCGCGATATGAACAATTTGAAAGTTCTCGACTTGAGCAAAAATCGGTTGACCAAAATTGCTAAGTACGGCATCACCAATAGCACTTACCTGAAAAGCTTGTTTAAAAATTAGCAGCATGTTGAGATACTGTGTTTCAGGGAGACATTTCGTGGCTTAGAAAATCTTGAGGAATTATATTTACAAGGAAACCGTCTGTCAAATATTGATTCAGATGCGTTTGAACTATTACAAAATCTTAGGATTTTAGATCTAAGTAAGTGAATTACAAGCTGACTAGACCAGTGTGTCTTAACTGCTTTGTAAACTCTAAAATTAACAAGATTTCTACTTGTAAGACTGTTTGTTTAGGCAATAATTCATTAAGTGATGTGAGTATACAGAATATGACTCGACTGGAAAAACTTTACATAAATAACAATAAATTAACCGCGTTGCGGAGGATAAAGTTGCAGAACGTTCCCAGTTTGAAAGAACTTTTTATCAAAGACAACGTCGTGGATAAAATTGAAAATTTGGAACTTTTGACACTGCAAGAATTAAAAAAGTAAGATTGTCAATGTTTATTAAAATTAAACATAATGCAAAATTGGAATTTTCAATTCCTACACTCTAATTTCTCACTTTTTTGTATAGTTTTTTAGAATGTTGGTTTATTTCTGGTTATTCAGTTAGCGTGTAGAAGGCCTAAAAGTGACTCTGAAAGGAAAAGTAAAAAAAAAACATTTTTTTTTCTGTTTTGAAGGGTAGTTGAACGATTTGAATTTTAACTCTTATATGTTCTACAATCATGTTGTACACACAGATTTTAATGCAACAAAAAGGAAGAAAAGAAATGTAACCATTACAGGCTAGAGGTATTAGCATTGGACAACAACAAAATTAAGGTTATTGACAATGAAGCTCTTAAACCTGTTGCGGGAATTATAAACCTTTCTTTAGAACACAATCGTCTGACTGAACTATCAACCGGTAATGAAAATTCTGATAGATTATAGCTTCTTTAAAGTATTATATTGCATTAATTTCTGATACAGTCATCCAACCGATTTTTCCAGTTTCTGTTTTTGGAAATAATAGCTTACGTTTCAATAGTAAATTTTATTACTGTTGCAGCTGGTGTATCATGTTTCAAACCGTTGTCACGCTTGAGGAGTTTAAATTTGGGTTATAATTTATTGAGCGAAATTTATCAAAATGATGTCGGCAGTTTAGAAACGTTGGAAGAGTTGAAAATGAACGACAACCAAATTAAAAACGTATTTTTTAAAAATATTTTTTATTATCAGAGCCACAGTACTGCAAGCAACATAGGCGAAGTTATGACATCTGGTTACTGTGCTTGAAATGCTGCTAATCTGTTCCTTTTTTTCAAAAATGACTTACAGTGCACTCTTTACAAAGATGGTCTTTTTTGGTCCGAAGTTAAAACCGCTTCACGAGGTTTACAAAACGAAACACAAATCGTAGAGAACTTAAAAATTGCTTTTTCAAAAAGGTTTCACATCTAATAAGCAGAACAGGTATTGCTTCTAAAACCTTGTCTTACAGATAGATTCGCAGGCATTTGGTCGTCTACAATTGAAAAGCTTATCTCTGGCACAGAATCGGCTGGTAGGGTTACCCGCAACTCTATTCCGTAATTTTGACATAAAGAAACTGGAATTGATAAATTTAACCGGTAAGACGTATTTGCTTACCTTAAAACAATGTTTAGAAAGTTGCTTCTTTTATTAATTATACTGTTAAAGGTCTCCTGATTAATTATTTGAGTTTTGAAGTTGGAAGATATGAAAAAAGGTTGTTGTGTTTCAGTTTACTTCTTATTCCATAACATATCCCATATTGTAGCTTTAAATTATGGTCTTTCTAGGAAAGTAGTAACCCGCTAACGATAAATTTTTTATGTTTACTACGTTAGAGTCGCTAAATAATTTCGCCTGCTCGAACAATAAGTCTTATCTTTCTGGTTTTCATCGTAGTATAGCATAAATATCAAGAACTTTTTATAATTCAAGAGAGTTCTCGCAAAGAACTTAAAATAATGTGTCTCTGTTTCTAATATTGCCAGCTAACTTCCTCTCTAATTACTCCCATGCTTAAAACGAGTGTAACACATCATCTTTAATTTGCTCAATTTTTCGTGACAATTGTCACTTGTATTTCGATTTCTCCTTATGGATTCTCTAAAGAAATAGTTTTTTTTTTTAATTTGAGTGCAATTTGTAAACATTTGTAAACATTTGAGCGAGAAGCATTTACTTATCACCAGTTTCAGAGCACAGAATTTTTGATGCTTAACAAACTATTAGAAAGAGAGATCTATTCACACAAAAAGCCTGATATTTAACTTTTCTACTGCCTAATTTTGATTCAAACTGCTGAGTGCAAGAAAAAAAATTTTTTTCAAAGACATTTAGATTTCATTTTTATTGCTGCTGCTGTGAGTGCACACTCTGCAAGATGATTTTAGAAAATGTGTAATTATTAGAATAGGTAAATTTAAGAAGTAATTTGGATGCTTCAAAAGAATGAAAAATTCAATTTACAGCAATTGCCTAAAAAAAATTATCATAAATTACAAAATTGCACTGCAGTTATGGCACCTTAACGACTTGCAAATTTTTTACAATTATTTTCAAATGTTCAGGAAACCCATGGGAGTGTAGATATACTGACGTTTGGCTGGATGGATGGATATCACAAATTGACAGCAGCTGCGTTGCTGGAGTGGCTTATTTAACCTGCAAAGCTGCTGATCCACCGCGCTCAATACGAGTAGCGTATGAGAAGCAGATATCTTCTGAGATTCCTGTTAAGCAATTATGTGCTCTTACAGTCCTACCAACCGTCAAAATACCATACCTTACAAAATATGAACTACGGAACCTGTCGTTGCTTTTCAACAAAATTGTTGGATCCGTCTTTTTATTTCTTATTGTTATCTGTTTCCTCAGCTGCAAGAGAGGTATATTACTCTTTAATCAGAGCTATTTGTAAAAGCGATGCTTTACAAAACATCAAGCTTCTGTGACCGTATATTTGTAGGTCGCTTTCGAAGAACTGTGTACGATGCGCAACAACTAAATGCTGCTGCTGGTACTACTGCTGACGGCTTTTTACTAGAAAACAAAACCATTCTGCGTGATTTTGAGGATAATTATCTACTTAAAAAGTCAAAATATTATGTGCAGCACATGGTGCTTTAAAGGTGAACGCTCAAAAAAGGCGATTTCAAGTCAGAGTGACTTTCTTTTGCGCGAGATATTGGTGCATAACTTTAGTTGACTTCAGAACTCTGTCATGACGTTAACCAATTATTTTAGTTTTCTGTTTATTGATCTGATGTCCTTTGATCTCTGTAGACCCGATAAGATCTGCTGTTGGTTTGAGTTCCCAAATAGGCAGGCTGGCAAGCTGCCTTTTCAGTGAAACTCCGAATCTCAAGCCTTCCTAATGTTCCTAAGTGTTCACTTCAAAGATTATTTTTTTGATGGAAATTTGAAAGAAATAGTTCTGAATCCTATTTTTCAACTTATTTTAGACTATGAAACTGATATTATTACACATTTTACAGACGTTTTCCTAAATCAGATTTTGCAGTTGTCTCTTGTGATAATTTGTTTTACCTAAACAGGGTATTAAAAACTGGAATCTTTCAGGTCGTCTGTGCCATTTTGCTGCTTTCTGTGCTTTAGTTGTTTACATTTTCTGTAGTCAGTTTTTTTGAACACTGTCTTTTGGAACTTCCTCTTTGCAGAACCCATGTAAAGTTCTTTCTTCGCTTTTGCGTTAAACTCTGTAGAGCTTTAAATCAGTCGAGTATTTGTCTGACGTAAAACAGGCTTTTCGGTTTTTCTCAGCAATCTTATTCACTGCTTAAACCATCATTTATTCACAAAAGGCTGTACGAATTTGTTTTTGTTAGTACTAATTATTGTTCCTTTCTTTCCAAAAAAGCTTTAACTTTTTCAGTTTTTAAAAGTTGTAAAAACTCATAGGACAGATTGTATTTGCATTATCGTCACTTGCCAATCCCTTGAATGGTACAAAAAGAAGTAAAGTTTCTAAACTAATTCTGATTCTGCTACCTATGTAATTAACTGGTAGTCTTTGTTTAAAATGTCATGAGTGATTACCGATCTACATTTTTAGATTTAAGACTAGTTCTAAAAAAAGTGCGTTTTGAAACCTAGGCAACTGTTTAGCGGGTGCCATAACTACAAAGTTGTGCCTCGAGCTTGTACCCACTAAGGTCAGATCAATTATGTTGCTGCTTTTAATCTCAGTCGGCACAAGAAATCTGCCAAGAAAAGAAAGTAACTGCAAATGCCTTTAGTACGAAATGCTGATTAAACTGTACCTTCAAGAAATTCCTGCACTTTACCGCTGAATTTCACGAAGATAAACTCCTTCATCAGAAG